GATAACAACATCCAGAACGCTTCCAAAATTACCGGCAACTAGTGATGCATCTAGGGCTGAGACCACCACAGTGAAAATGCAGACCAAGGTGCCTGCACAAACAAAGGTGCGTGGCTGGAGAGCAATGGTTAAAATGGTTCTGCTGTACACCTCTGATGGCTTCATGTTAACTTTGATTTATATGGATTAAAAAGCACACACACTTTTCTTAATGCTATTGCAGCCTGTTAAACGAATACAGAGCTGCTCAGTTTCATTTCTACTAGAAAGTCTGTATTTCACATGAAAGAAAAGAGAGACATGAAAAAGAATAACTTAGATACACACAACAGCTTTTCATGATACCTTTGAGTCTCAGCTGTACCTTTTTTACATCTCTGATATTGTTATTCAAAAAAATCTACATGAAACTTCCCTCCTCAAAGGAGACTGTTATGTGGTTTGGCTATAGTTTGAACACTTGCCAGGTTCCATTTAGCGTTTCAGTATTTCCTTCTAACACCTCAGGTAATATTGTCTGTTACCCTCAAAGGTGTCCTGAATATGGCATCTGATGTGTTAATTTCAGAATTCATTCAGAGGCCATTACTCTGATAAACACAGAAATATTTAAATACACTTTTGGGGGTTTTAAACTTGTGTGAGATGTTTTTCATTTCAACATCATGACAACAAATAGATCCATTTATGATGTCTAGCACAGCTTTCTGTGGTCAGAGAGCTTCCCATGTGTTGTGTTTATCGATATTGTGGAGAATGTGCATGGAGCCACAGCTTCGTGGCTGTCCATGACAGTCAGTGACTGTGCAGACTTGTGGTGCTCCCTGTCTGTAAGCAGTGCTCTGTTTGCCTTTTGTGCCACAGTCACCTGAAGAAATCGATAAAGAGGAAAGGACTGAGGTGGATGCCAAGAAAAAGAGTGATCAGCCAGGGGATGACACTGATGTGTACACTGAGAAGCATTCAGAAAACCTCTTCCAGAGAACAGAAGTTCTGGCAGGTGAGGCCACATTTGTCAAGGTCCAGCCCACCAGAAATACCCCACAAAACAGAAGGGATCCATATCACATAATGCAAACTCAACATTTGTGTTTTCCTGGTAGATCCTTAAATGCATTCATAGCAGGTAGCCAGAGGTTAATTTGATGATAATGAGATGGGCATCTTCTGGAGTTGCTTAATGGCAAAGTATGTTGCTAATTGATTTGATGCCCACAAGCTGAGTACTGCCAGCTGAGTGTCTGGAACTTGCACAGCTCAGAGAGGGAGTTGGTATTTGGATTGATGCTTGCAGTGCAAAAATGTATTTCTCACCCACACTCCCAAGAGCACATTGCTGTCTGGTCCATCTGGGGCAGATAGACACTGCCCAAGAGGAGCTCATGGCAAGGGGTGGGTAGATAGGTGAATGAAGAGGGACAGATGAGTGCCCCCTGAGGATACAGAAGATCTATTTCCATGCGTAACACAGGGAGGCACAGGCTAACCACCAATGTTTTCACCACATGTGAAGGGTTTTTGGCATAAGAGCAGTGTCTACAGATACACTTTTCCCCACTTGTCCTCAGAGGAGGTGTTGGGAGCCATGAAAGTCACACAGGTTTGGACCACGTCTTCCCATGAGCATCAAAATGTGAAATAGCCTTAATATCCACATCAGTGGAAGCATGCGGGTTTGCTCTTGAAATTTAGTTGGAGTTGGTACTTTCTACACACTTGCAAATGCATAATGAATGTAATGCCTCTGTTCCTACAGCTCCATGAAATGTTCTCTCCTACTGCTCATCAATAGGAAATTAATTTCAGCCTTAAGTCAGAGTGAAAACTGATCTGGAAAAGGGAAAACCCGTTTCTTAGCCAGTGTAACAAAATAGTTTTTTTAAGGCTGAAAATATTAACTGTTGAAAAATGAATTTGAAAGAGACTTGAAAATTATTATTATAAATTAATAGAACTTTTGCTCTGGCAGTATTGGTGGCTCTCTTAATTGAGCTTTTAGGAAATTTTTAATAACCTTGTTAGAACTGTGGGTTGTTGCATTACTGACCTGTAGGCGGAATATCCTTTTAAATGGCTGCGTCCATGAACATTAACAGGCTTTCTGAGAATATATTTCAGGATACTAATAATCAAGACGGTTGCATAATGGGAGCCCTTTTCTGCAATTTGAAAATAATAGCACCCTTATTGTGTAAGATGAAAAAGAAACGTGGTGCTAAACTTGTTTTCCCAGCATATAGTGAATGTATTTTTCTTTGATTACAGCTGTTATTGCTGGTGGAGTTATCGGTTTTCTTTTCGCAATCTTCCTTATCCTGCTGCTGGTGTATCGCATGAGAAAGAAGGATGAAGGCAGTTACGACCTTGGCGAACGTAAACCATCCTGTGCTGCCTATCAAAAGGCACCTACTAAGGAGTTTTATGCATAAAATTCCTATTTAGTGTCTCTATTTATGAGATCACTGAACTTTTTTAAATAAAGCTTTTGCATAGAATAATGAAGATCCCTTTTTTTTTCTTTTTTCTTTTTTTTTTTTTTTTTTTTTTGGTCATTAAAGAGCCATTCCGGCACCTTTACAACAAGATCCCATTGTATTTAAAACTTTTCATGTATTCCTTTACAAATGTAAAATTAAAACTTAACATTTGCAGTGTTCTGTGAATAACAGTGGCAAAGCATTATTTTATAAAACCATTGATGTTCACTGAATCATTTTTAAAACTTTATGCATAAATATAAAATAATGAAAATTATTGTTTTATCCTATGGTTCAATGAAAGTTGTTTAATTTTTGTCAGCATGTGTCAGATTGACCTTACAAGTTAGTTTTTGTTTCATTAATTTATCTGTTTCCAAAAAAGGCCTTTTTGTAGTTGTCATGGTGCAATTTGTCTTCGGATAATTCAGATAACAGTAACTTTTAGTGTAAATGTAATTTTTCAGCTATGTAAACCTTAACCTCCACTTTGTATAAATTTAAGTGTCAGATTATCAATTTTACACTTTGCATTGTTTCTCAGCGTACCTGTAGCTTCAGTGAGATTTGTAACAGCAAATTAATGTGTAAAATTGGATTATTACAAACTGTATAGTCGTATTCTTACTAAACAAATCTCCTGTAAGGAAGATTTGGAGTAAGCTACTGACACACCTAAGCAAACCCAAAGACTCTAACAGTATTTTGAGAAGTTGCTGCAGATTTCTATGGCCACTGTATTTGTTAATTATTTGCAATTTGAAGGTACAAGTAGGGGTTTAAATTTTTGTTCTTTAAAAATGCATTTAAGTTGTAAACGTCTTTTAAAGCCTTTGAAGTGCCTATGATTATATGTGACTCGTCGCAGACTGGTGTTAATGAGTATATAACAGTAAAAGAAAATGTTGGTATTTTATAAGCACAGACAATTCTAATGGTAACTTTTGTAGTCTTACATGGATAGACATAATTGTAATTTGGGAACATAAACACTACTGAATAAATCATGTGGCCTAATACTGAGAATTCCATTGTGATATACTTTTGTACGCTTTTCATTTTATGTCTACTTGCTTATGTTTTAATGTCACAGAGTACACTTAGTAGATCTTAAAAATCCAGACCAAAAGAAAAAGGCTGTTGATCCAGGCTGATCTTTGGACTAGATTTATTGCTGAAGTGACAGAGAAAAACAGGAATGTTTAAGTCTTGCATCTGGTGTATGAGTCATTTGACCTTTGCATTATATTTAATGACAGTACTGACACAGACCTGTTTGTCCTGCAAATGTTGTTTTCCATACTCTAAAATTCAAAGGAGTACCTGGGTTCATTCATTGTGTATATTGGGTTTTGATTTGTTGTTAAGGATTGTTTTATTCCCTGGCCTTTGGATAATTCTGGTTTATTCTGCTCAGACTCCAGCAGAAGAGTTGAGACAAGTGGAATATCTTCATAAGAGAAGAAAGAAATTTTCCGAGTAGAAGAGAAAAGGTTCTGTTGCTTAGACTTCAGATAGGTGTTGGATAGAGGGACACATGGAGAAGATGATAGTCTGCCTCCTTATATTATGCTTTCTAACAGACAAATGGCTTCGTCTTCTGCTCTGTTAACCTCCTCACTTCTTATTTTTGAGATTTCCAAAATACAGATGATCAGGATGTCCAGCTGAAGTGCTTCTCAGAAATGGCAATGTAATGTAAATAAGTTCTGGTAGCTCTTTACGAAAGAGTTGCATAACTTGTATTTGTTGCTGTCCCAAGTTCAGTGGTCATTTAGGAACAAATGAATGCTATCCTGTGCTAAAATATTTAATATATTGCTTTTAAAATTACTTATACTTACTGGCAAGTTTTTCGAAGCCATACAAGTTCATCAAGTAAAAACAGGGTAAGAATTTAACAGGTATTTCTTATTGTGCAATATTTAGTGAAATTCAATTAGTAAAATAACTGCTTGAAATAACTGTGCCAAGAAAAGAGAATTTCTGGCAAATGCTGTGCCACTGCTGTAAAATAAAGCATTTGTTAAAGTGCCAAAATAAAGTCTACCATGCCTAAACTAATACTTTATTTGTATAGTCTGACATCCAGTTTTTTGAAGCCCACTTTGCTTGAGGTAGTAGATCTGAATTTTCTTTAAGGGTGTGATGAATATTGCTGTAAGTATAGCTATGAATATTAAGCACCAGATAAATTGTCTTCTCCTTCTTCATAAGCAAATTGATATTAAGAAGCTGTTTTCATTTTATTTATGTATGTTAGATTCCGCCTCTATTCCTAATGTGCAGAACACTTTATGCAGCATAGACCACTGTTGTAATTATGCAGGCTACCAAATATTATGCTTGTCTGATTCCTCCTGCCCCTGCTAACAAGCAGAAGCAATGATAAAGTTTCAGCTGTATTTCACCAGTTGCCTTTTTTTCCACTGCGTATACATTATCCACTCTGTTATGTGCAGATGTTTAATGCTTCAGCTATGTACAAGGACTTAAAGTATCGCAGTCCTCCCACCCTTCCTAACAAAACCCTGAAACTTCTTCAACATGCAGTAGGTGTGATAGTAGCATTTATCATCCTGTGATCTCTTTCCCTGTTTTCAGTGCCAAACCATAGTATTAGGGGAAAATTCTAACAGAGCTATCATCTCCATTGTAAACATCATTTCAGTTTTCATCAGTCTGAAAACCAGGCTGATGCAGACACCCAACTTCTAGCAACACTGCTCAGAAGAGATCAACAGCTGAATGTGCTTCTCTCATGCTGAGGCTTCCTAGCACAAGTTGGTCTTCAGTTCTGCTTCCCTTTTGTTCTCCCCTTCCTGGATGCGTTTCTAGCAATACTCTGGCTACTCATAGATGTTGCTGGGTAGCTGGAAGTCTTGGTGCCAGGCTGTGGATGCTACGCCACCTGCCCGCAGCTAGCAGTGGCATCTGTAGCTCTGGGATGGCTTTTCATAGAGACCCTTGGCTCTTCCCTGCTGGAACTGCTCTAGCAGCTCTGAAATTCCTCAGCAACCTGATATGGTGTCTCCTTGTGACCGATAGGCTGTAGTGTTTATCAGAATGCCATTTTGCTTTGATTTACCCTGGGTTATAAACGGTCACTTCCTCTTAGATTCTGTGCAAATGAAGCCCAATGCAAGTAACATAAAGTTTACATTAAGTCTCTTGTCTTTGCTTTATTCATGGAAAAGTAACTTCAGAAGTTGAGTTACTGGTTTCTCTGATTGGCAGCTTTACACAAGTGCATTGTAGCTCGTGTTTACAAGCTGCAGAGCTAGCTTTCCTTCACTTCGAGCATTGCGCTTCATTGAAATAGAATACGTTAAACCCCAAAATGTCCTTTTGCACCACCTAACAAAGAGAAGAGCATATTTGTAACTTTGGCTAGTTGTTGCTCTTTTTTCTCTTTGAAGGTGTGTATTGAAATGATGGTGAAGTGCAGTCTGACATGATATATAACGATTTTTAAGCAACATACAGAATACTGGAAACTTTTGCAAGGAAAGAAGTATCCAGATAAACATTGAAGAAAAACTACTAGTGTGAAAGAGATTATCATAGCATGCTTATTATTTGCTCAAATAAGCAAAGAAGAAGGAAAAAGGAATGTGGGGGGTGAGAGAAGATCTCTAAGGAAACTATTATTCTTACAGATGGAAATAATATAGCAGTTTATTCTAAATTTGCAATCAGTTATATTTATTTAGGCTTGTTTAATCACACTGGCATAATTTCCTTTAAAGAATTTGCAATAGTGTCTTCCATTTTTAATGAACTTTAATATTAATTTTGTTACATTTAATCTTTTGCCCTTGTATCAGAGCTCTGAACCTTGGTGTGAAAACTCTGTGCTGTGAACTTTTAGAACATTCCCTTTCCAAAAAATTTCTTCAGGAAGCGTGACCTCGTTGTACTGTTTGTCTGAGAAAAGATACAGCAAGTATCCCCCTCCCTGGCATGACTTCTGGTCCTGTGATTGTTCGTGGCTGGAGGAGAAGAGCGGTTTTGCTAAGGAACTAGTTCAGGAGAGGGGGATGCTGATTTGTGTGTTTCATTTCCTCCTGACTCTTCAGCTGACCGGGCGCTGGGTTCAGCTGTGTGTGTGGGACAGGGGAGCTATAACCCAACCCTGACAGTGGAAAAGATGCTCTGCCGAGATTTCTTCCCCTGTAAAGTAAGTTGTATATTTTTTGCTTTGAAAACAAACAAATGATAGAACTTAAGCTCAGTAGAACTAGAAATGGAAATGTGGGCTCCTGCCCTGACCCCTATGATCCAATTTCACATGTGCATCGGACATGCAAAGTAGCTGCTCATGTGGGTGGAATACTGAAAATTGTTCTGTGTGTTTGCAGCATCTGAGCTCAGTTTCTAGTGGGAATTGGGAGGATGGAGGGGACATGGCTCATTAGTTCTCTAGAACTAACTACAGACATTAATTTGGGGTAAATGTAAAGAAGGCATGAAGAGAACTGTCCTGACATCCCACATTTTCCACTGTAAGTTACAAGGCATTCTGTTTTTTTGAGTTGTTGCTGTTGCCCTGAATTTGCTCTCAACAGAGAGAATCCATAGGCAGGTGAGTGGGAAGATGTTGGTGTCATACCCTGAGGGACACTCTTAGTTGCACACAGCTTCCCAGCACATTGGACATCGGTGCTACCTGTTGCAGATGTTGGCAGTGGCAGCTCTGACCCCCCACGCCTGCTGCTGCCCACAGGAGGTGCTGGGAGGGTGGCAGGAGGCAACAATCAGGATGCTGCATAGCACTTGCAAGGGTCTGGATTGTGTTTGGTTCATGGGAGGTGGAAAGACATGGATGCAACGTGCAACCAGGGATTTGCTGCTGAGATGTACTGTTGTGCTTTGAAGCAACTTTCCATTTCTTTTCCATGTTTAGGAGATGTCAAACTACCCTAACTCCTTCAGTATCAGATATGTTTATGGAACAGCCTGCACAGCTCTTGAGTTTTTTAATTCACATTACAGTGTAAAACAATGTGCTGTAGTTGGGTGGTGACTGAGGGCCGCTGTCCCTCATGGCTGAAGGTCAGGTCCAAAGAATTCCTCCAGCCTGGCAGTTCAGCCCTGGCCCGGAGTGACAGGAAATAGGAATGCCTGTGAAAAACTTCCAGAAAAATATTGCAAAACCTGTAATAGTTTGTTGAAAATAAACAGAACCCAAGTTCTCAGTAGGGGGTGACTAATTCATTTAGATTTTTTCTGGGGCATTATTGAATTCTTTTTCCCATGGATCTTTTGTTGATTTGTTGAATGTAGAGGAAGCTTCTGATTTTTTTCTATTTTTAATTCAAGCACTGACATATAAGGAACAATAATTCCACCAGACAAGCTACTTGAAACTTATCTAGTGGTGGGAAACTAAGTTCAGTGGAGGGAAAAGTTCTGTGTCCTAGTTACCCACCCACCTGGTATGGCCATATGTATTCCTAGAGTCTAAACAAAGTTCGGTGCCCATTTTCCCAAGCTCCTGTGGTGGGACAGGAGCTTTCTCTAAACACTGCAGCTCCCCAGAGGATACAACAAGTAATGGGAAGACTTACTTTTTGATGTTTTTGTGTCATAACCCATAATCCTAATACTCATCTCCTTCCTAGTCCCCTTCTAAATATAACGACGGGAGAAGTCACAACCATCACACTAAACAGTACTGAAAGAATGTAAAACAGTCCGAAGTTCAGTTTTCATCATTCATCCCTACATTTTTTGTTACCATAGAGCTAACAGAAGAGTCTCTTGTGAAAGGAAGTGGAGCATGTGCTTCCTCCTGAACCAGCCCACAGTGCCAGCTGAGTTAATGCTGACTTGGGGAAAAACCTCTTCTTAGGAAGGAGCAGCTTCTGGGGCCAAGTCTCAGATTGCTGAGATGGCAGCTTAACTCCTGCTTAGACCAAAAAGTTTGAATGAAGGACCCTGCCTTGACCTGGTGTCTCACTGCTGGGTCAGGGGCCATGCCACCTTCATGCTGGTGAGGCAAGGATTCAGGAACAGTTCTAGTAAACTTGCATTATCTGAGGGCCATCCCATAGGAACATCTTTCATGAGAATCACAGTCGGCTTAACTTACTGATTGCAGTCACAGCAGCAGCAGGAAACTTTTCTTTAAATCGTCAGCTTTCACCTCCTTTTGCATGTGCTCAGACATATTCCTAAAGAAAATTGGTTTTCATTGGCTGGTAAGCAAGATGACTTCTTAACTTGTAATTTAATTTAATATTTACAGTAAATATTGTACTTCTTTTTGCTCTGCAGGAGCAGACACTATTTACATATTTATGCCATTACAAAGCTAAACTTCCATATTCTATTTCTTCCATTCTGTTATGTTAAAGATGGTAAATAAATATTCATTTACCAGCTGATTCAGTTTATGGCTTTTATTTGCTTCAACTTGCTTTTCAATGGAAATTGAGATTTCATTAAGAATGCATAAAATTAGCATTTCTTATAAAGTAAAATATATTAAGCACATCAGAAGAAAGATTAGCAAAAAACAATTTGACTTTAAAGCATATGTAATTATTAGAAATATCTTACTTATTAGGGAACAGCAGTTTACTAGTTACTGAATTGAACTGAGTAATTCCAATCACAGTGTCTATTAAGACTTCAAAATCTGTAGGTCTCAATCTTCCTTCCTTTTTCCGATAGCATGGAAAAGAACAAGCTTTCCTGCTTTTTCAGCTTCTAAGTGGTTTTATAAAAAAAAAAAAAAATCCTGAAAATAATAATAAAAAAGAGAATTTTATATCTACAGAAGAGCTGTCAAAGAGTCAGAAGTTTTCTTTTATCATCTCAAAAACTGGTTACAGGTGCTCAGCCACGTGACTTTTCCCAATCTATGGTTTGATTTTTGTAACAGCTCTGGCAGTAGAAATCATCAATTTTTCTCTGCCAGTCTGTGCTTTTTATAACACACATTCAGCCACTAAAAGGTAAGTGGAATTTTACTTCAGCCTTCCCCGATGGGACTTTAAATGAAGATTCTGAAACTCCACAGACTTGTTCAGCTCTGGCTCTTCTAGACTCTAAGAAATACTGTACCCATCCTCAACTAAGCAATATATTCTTTTACACAAGCTCTTACTATATTAGTTTTTCACTTTCCACCATGTGTGTCAAAGCTTTCAAACTGTGATCAGACAGACTGCAAATTTGAGTAAGAGTATGCCATCTTCTAAATATATACCATAGAGGATTCAAAGAGGACTCCAAAGCTTTAGTTAGTTTTGATAATAACAAGCTTACTCTTGCAGAATCACTTTAAGTGGTTCATGCTATATTATTTCTGCTCGAGCAGCCTGTTCAGATTCTTGTAGTTAAACGTAGAATGAGATGCTGATGAAGCTGGGTCTCAAGGCATGCATCCACACACTGAGTAGAGAGTTGCGTCTGTTTGCATTCAAAACCCCTCACACAATAAAACACCTCTCACTTTTGTGCCTGTTCATTTGATAACAAGTTATTTTGGCACTCAGATTCTGTCCATCTATCTAATATCTGCCACTTCAAGAACATTGCGCTTCCTGGTACAATGGCTGGCTGAAACATCATTAGCCAGAGAAGTCACACTCCTGCTTGGCCTCCCATCTGCCTTTGTTAGATGGATATTTTATTGGCTCATCCCGTATGAAGGCAGTCTCTTCCAAGTTCAACACAATTCAACCCATCCTAAGCTGTGACCAGGAGTAACTGTGCTTCCATGCAGGGTGGAGGGCTTGCACTAGGTGTCCTTTGAATTTGAAACTCATTGTAGATGTGTTATGAAACAAGGGCTGCTTTGGTACACAGCAGGGTATAGGACTCTCTTTAAGTCCATATATCCAGAAATAAAAGTTGTATTTTATCTGTGTTTTTAAAAGTGTCTATTGACTTAAACTTGCTTGGGACAAACACACGTTGAATAAGTTAAACTGGACTTTATCTTCACAAAAATATTGAGAAGAATGAAGGTACCTAGCTATAGTGGAGAGGGTTGATGATATTAATTAATTATAATTGAATTCCTTCATCATAAACAAAGTTATATAGAGCAGTATTTAATGCATTTTTAATGCAAATATATGATAATTGATGTTAGGCATCCAAAGGTCTTTTGCTTTGTAAACACAGGAGTGGATTGCTATGTGAAGACTGGAGATCCACAGGAATGCACAGAGTTACTTGTACCTCTGTTTTTACATCAGGTGCCCATGCTGTGCTATCTACAGCACACATCACATAGTTTACAAGGAGATTCCACTGGGAGCACTTTCCATCCATGCTTAATAAAAGTCTCTCTGTTGGATTGTAAGTAAACTTGTGGTAATCAGCAGAAGAAATTACACCGCCAGGCTATCTCTTGCTAGCGAGTTTTGCTGCCAAAACTTTTGTGGGGTCATGAGTTGCTGACATTTTTATGTCTTTGGAGCATGTGTGCTCATTACAGCTTTTTTGAGGTGCTGCATGTCCTTGCTGCAAGAAGCTGTAATGGCAGAGGGGCTGCTGCGCACTGGGTAAGGACCCCGGGCTTGCAGCTGCCAACATTGCTGTGTTCTTCGAGCACGTATACAGTGGTATTTTGCTAGTAGCTATGTGCTGGCTTGTGCTGTTTAGAGAAGAGATTTCACTTGGGCAGGAGAGGCTGAATTTTGTTGGCCTACATCAACATAGTATGAGAATGCACAGAAACTCAGGGCAAATAATGCTGACTTCTGACAGTAAACCTCAATAGCACTGGACAGCTTAGATTTGTCCCATGCAAGTATGCCCTACCAACCCATTGCTGGCAGATGTTCTGCTCTTAGCTGTTGCTGCTTTTGATAACTGAAAAAAACCAACTTCGACACAGAAGTGGAAAAGCTAGCAGAACTGTGTAGAAGAATACACGCCATGATATGCTTACTGTTTTTCTTTCACAGTGTCCCTACATTTTCCCTCATTCTATGTGCTATTAGAACATATTTATTTCCTGCCAGGCTGTTTAAATGGAAAGACAAACACATCAGGGTCAAGATTGGAATACTTCTTCCTAGAAAGAACTGAAAAAACAGCACTTCTTGGAAACTTAGGAATATTTATTCTCAGCTCCTTTAACTGAAAAAGAAGTGGAAATAAAAGCTGAAGGTTGCATTGATTAGCATTCCGTATTTACCTGCCTACAGCGCAAAGCAA